GCAGAGCAGAGCAGAATACAATAGAAGGAATATACTGACAGTTTTTCCAAAAAGAGTTTGATGAAGGTTTTCTTGCATGTCGCATATTGCATACCATGCCCTAAATGCACAACTGGCAATCYGATGCGAATGCAAACAGTAAAACGTCACAACCATATGAGATTTTCCAAAACTTTGTCTGCACATTTTTCTACTAGTATATTTTCCAATATGCTGAGATTTACATATTATGAATATGATATGCTAAATATACCTTACTATTAAATAGGCTGCTGTACTTTCATGACAACATCGGCACTAACCTTAGTGGAAACAATCCTTTCCTGTTCAGGATCACTTGTTATATTGAGATGCCCAAGATCTACTACCAAGAGATTTGATGACCTAAAATATTAACATCATTTTTGTAAGTAAAACAACTAGCATGGAGAAGGTTATTGTTAAGTTTATTGTTATTGATGATGATGGCAACATTGATGATGATGATAATCTAATGATTTACACATGAAATTAGTGCAGCGATTTGAGGTGTGACTCTTGCCAGTGATTTTGATCAAAATCAAAAATGGTAAAGGACTAACTGGTAAAGGTTTAGTCTGGACAACAAGATTACCTGGACAACATGTTTCTGTGAAAGCATAAGACAATTTTTTTTAATATTTGCAAAAATCTCACCTCAAATTACCACAAAAATCGCACATGTAAACAGGTCTTGAAAGGTATGAAGGTTCCCCGGTTTATACTTGATAGAGGTAGGTACGTACGTACCCATCTTATCTTATATTTCATTATGTACATTAAGTGAATAAGGAAGTGAATGGAAAATGTCCAGATGGGGAGTGAAAGGAAAGTGAATAGGAGGTAAATTGGAAAGAGAGGGAAAGAGATGGAAAGTGAATGGAAAGAAAATGGAAAATTGATTAGTAATTGAATGGGAAGTGAATGGGAAAGTGATTAGGGAATGAATATGGATTGGATAAGAAAGTGATGATGAGGAGCATCATAAACAGCTTTTATCTCTGTAATGTTTGCTTGATAATGACAATCATTACTAGTCAGGAGGGCTTTTTATTTTGAGGTTTTAAAACTTACTTGTGTGTATGAGAATATAATATATGAAATATATCATCATCATCATCATCATTTTATCTTTTAAAGTAGGTTATAAGAAAGGCAGCCCATAGGGCTGATGTGGTCCTACTATATTTGTACTGCAGTCGTAATGTGACAAATTGAGCTGATCTTTGCAGTATATGAAGCAACTTATGCAGTTGCAAATTGAAAGACTCAGAAAATATGCAGCTGCATAAGTTGCTGCATAAACTGCAAGGATCAGCTCAATTTGATTAATTCATTTTTCAAGTTTATATAAGCTTTAGTCAAATTAATCTTAATATAAGTTTATTCCTATTAGTTTAGAAACATAAAAACTTACCCTTCAAATTGGCCACCCTCAGGTATGATGACATAGGGAGACTTCACATCAATGTTTACATCTGTAATCTGAAATACCACAAGCACAGGCAGTGGTGCTTACCAATTTAAAAAAATCTGTTTGGAAAGTCCTTCTATCCCCCCCCCCCCCCCCCCCCCCCCCCCATAATGGTAAGAAATTAAAAGAGTGGAAAACTTTGGTTCTAGCAAAATTTAATGGTACACACATCTACTGTAAGAACTGACAAGAACTGTAAAAGTTTTTTTTACCTCAATCAGAAGACCAAATTTTCGGAAATTTCCGATCAGAATGACACATTTATACCATTTGTTTTTCCAACYGGATTTTTCACTTTCTTCATGAGAATGGTAAGCACCCCAATTATGCTTAGTTTGTGGAATACTTAACCAGTATGCTTAAAAGGAAGGGAGGGTGGGAAATCCATATAAAATTGGGCAAGCTTATCTACTTACAAACCAGCTAGTGATAGCAAATATTGTGTTACTCCCTCTGCTAATCTCATACTAAGTACTAATTGGTCACTTAATGATGCATGATCATGACACATAATATTCAATTTAAAATTTTGCTGGCTAGGTAGCAAGAGGCTAGCAGTGGCAGGGTGAGTAGCAATTCCAAATTACAAGTAAAGGCTACTTGCTAGCTATAGTTTTTGCCTAAATATTATTGAACCACAAAAAAGCTTACTACTTAAAAAAACAACACATATTTTATGTCAATAGGTGTCATCAGTAAACAGTATAATAATGATCTTGAAATCTACCAAGTGAACATCCTTCAATTATCTAAACTAAGCACTGCTAACTACGTTAATTTTGGTTGTAGATCTATACTGTCTGATGTTGTGTCCTTGGAAAAGGGAAAAGTAAGTTATAAAAATAAAATTGATAGGAATTAATTAAACTTTTCTAAACTTAAATTAAAATTAAATATCCCATCTAATTATAATAGATAATATCAACGATCAAAGCAATACCTTATGATGCTCCACTGCATAGGCAAGACTGGCTTTAGATGCTGTTTTCAACTCCTCTAGTCTTGACATAGCTACTGCTGATAATCTAATGATTTACACACATTAAAAGATATAAGGGAGGTTAACAGGTAGATTGGTTGGGTGTAGGTAATTTTACCACAATTATCTTTAGCAAATAACATATTAAATCTACTTGAAACTCACTCTTGTAGCTGTACTCCTTTTGGTGGTTGAAAGAAAGCCATGATCTGATCAATTGTATTCTAAAAATACAGAATTTACAAATATAAACATTTAAGATTATCACGAAGCAATAGTGATCAATATATTAATTTGTTTTGAATATTTATGAGTTCATAATAATAGTTGCCTTTAGAATTAATTGGTTATAAAATCATAGGCAGCAGTGGGGGTTTGAGTGGTGTGCTTAATTTTGTAACCATTAATTTATTAAAACTGATGTTAGTGTGAAAGCAATAGGAAGGGTGTGAATTTAACTTGGATGTACAGTGTAAGTGTCATTGCTTAGTTAATGAGTTGTAAGTTAAATAATACAGCACTTTAGGGTACTTACTGAATCATAGACAATTTTTATTGGCTGTGATTTGACTTTAACTCTTTGATCACACTTCCCATCCAGTGGGTTTGTTTCAAATGAAGCATTGAATAATGGAAGAGTATGTTCTGATTGGTCTAGAAAAAAATTGTCAGAAGAATTTAAAACAAACAGCATCAGACAAGTGAGCTTACCATTTAGACCAATAATCTGGTTTGAAAATATTTTGCTAATGGTATGAAAAGAGTGACTGGAAAACTTTGAGTTATGACAAATGGTACATGGGGCTACTGGAAGAACCATTACAGCCGGAAAAGTGTATTGTCATTTACCACRAACGGAAGACCAAGTTTACCAGGACTTTCTGATTGAAATGACAGTCACATAACATTTTTTCTCCTTATGGAATTTCAATTTTTTCTGGATAAATGTAAAGCACCTCGGATGATGATTATATTAAATCCAAGTAGCCCTGACTTACCCTCTTTGCCAAGCTGAGATGTTATCATCAGAGGTAAATATTTGGTTTTAGAATGAGCTCCAAACATCCTCATTTGATCGACTTTGGCAGAAACACTAAGAACATGTAACAAAAAGAAATTAAAAGAAAAAAGAAATTAATCCTGCAGAAGGTCTTCACGTATTGATGTTAAAGCGTTTATCTAGAGTCAGCTTTTGATAGACCCCTTTACATGGGCAAAATATATTCGCATTTCAGACCATTTGTCATTCAGACCAAGTATCATTCTCAAGAATAAGATTCTTTGGATATTTGTATTCATGCATGTGTCTTCAGCCAGTTGGCTCAGTTGTTTGAGCATCAGACTGTTGTGTGGGAGGTTGTGGGTTCAAACCTCAGCATGAACAACAGTCAGCAGGGTGTTAAGATAACTAACAGACAGTGTGACTTACCAGTGGCTTCAATGACCACTTTTAAGGCAGTCTGCATACCAAGCCTTAAAGAATGGAGGGGTAAAATACTCACACAATGGCCTGTGCTGAAGGCCTTTGAGCCAAATCAGCATACAAATCTTGGATACTTAGTCTTAATATGTCTTTTAATTTTTTGCTGAAAAAGCAATAGACATTCATCATCATCAGTAAACTTCATTTCAACAAAGTTAACATTTTATATCCCTTTACTTTTCGTCAACCTTCTACATGCATGATCACTCTCATGTACTCTCATCAGACTAAATAATTTTGTCAGAAACAGTAGGAAATAGACTTTGAACATAATAATATCATACCTTTGGTTATCAACATCTCTTAACCCAATACCAATTTGCTTGAGGTGAACAACAACCTTATTTTCCACATACTAATAATAGGAAAAAGCTTGATTTAGTAATTTATTAGTAAAGGGGCTCCCTGCACGCTATAGACCAAATTCAAAACTCGCAGCGATGTGAGGCTTAAGTTGTGAACAAAGGGATCTGACGTGACTCAAAGTAATCTGGCGTGATTCAAAAGTCACAAATCATGCCAGATTCCTTTGTTCACAACTTAAGCCTCACATCGGTGCGAGTTTTGAATTTGGTCTATCATAGGGAGCAATGGACTACTTCGCCGATACGTGGCCATCTTGCCAGGGGTCAAAACAAATCAAAGATGACAGAAAATATATAGAGTTTCATGTGTTGGTCTTTCTCTTGTGGGTAAAGGTGACCATTGCGCCACCTTAATTTATCTTTTGTTTTATTCTCCTGAGAACTGCTGGGAACCTATTGTTATGTGACCCAAATTGAGCTGCATTCAGTTCTGCTGCAAAGGGTATATTAGGTAGAGTAGTAATTGAAGTGTATATTCACTGCTATACAGACCTCTTTAGGAAATGATGTAATGACTTCATTCTCACTGTACCCAATGGCGGCATACAGTTTCTGCAACTCTTCTTGTTTCTGCTCCTCAGTAAGAATTTCTATTACACATAAAGGTAAACCAGTATTAATAATTATAAAGAACAATCTTGTACATATGGACAAAGAATTTGAAGGCCAGAGACCCTACTAAGCTTCAGTATTAAATTGTTTTTAGAATCAATGTATTAAAATCATATCATGTAAACAATGTCAGCACACATGAAATTATGCCAGAAAAATGTGCAGACAAAGTTTGGTAAAATTCCACATTAGTGCAACCATAGTGCAATTACTGTCCAATCAAAATTCAGCATTGCATTGTAGTGTATCCATTTATCAATTTATATAAATGAAATGGGATGTAAAATTAAAAAGGAATTCAATTATTTACTGTATTTCTTACCAAATTTACCTTGAAAATTCATTTTAGATTTCTTAGATTTCTTAAATTTCTTAGATTTCTTTTTAGGAGAAGTTGATGAAGAGGTTGAAGAAGAAGAGGAAGAGGCAGTAGAAGAAGGTGTTTCAAGAACTGTTAAAGAGATTTTAAAAAGAACTACAACATTCTATTTAAAATTACAGCAGACTGATTAATTTTATATACAGTCACCTAATTGCAAGAATGTTAACATATGAAAATAAATAACAAATAACAATAATAGGAATTATTTTTTAAGCAAATCTGATCTAATTGTTTCACTGTTTTAAAGGAAAATAGATTTAACAAATTTATAGATTTAATGATTGGTAATAATATAATAATAATATATTTAATTTTTTAGCATTTATTGTTTTTCGTTTTATTTTATTTTTTTATATATGACAACGTTCTTGCAGTAACAATAGAAAACAATCTGATATTTCATTTTTTTTAAATAATGCTTTTATACATGTACCCTCTGCAAATTTCAGATGTCTAGGTCTAGATTTAAAAAAAAACTTGTTGACTTGTTGAACAGAACACTGTGCTTATGAAAAATATCAGCAAAAAATATTTACATAGTAGTTCAAGTTATTTCTGCATAATAGTTTAATATATAATTGTGAAATC